TCTCCACAAGGAATTTCACAACCTCAGATAATGAGCTCGATTTTGCCACACAGAGTAATGTTTGGAACGGATATTTCAAGTTCGAAGATTCAGGGGTGTCTTTTCATGGAGGCTAAAACTAAAATGTCCCTCTTTTAGTTATTTTAGATTAGAAAATAATGAGAAGACAAAATGTAAAATTACAATAATATCATTGAAGTGAGTGTTCTTTAGAATCCGCTAATTATCTCTTTTGTGCAGAAAAGCATACATACGCTCGTTATATGATTACCTCTATTAGTGGCGACTATATTTCTTCCTTTCTTAGCTAATTTAATAATATTTCATTTAGGGGGGTGGGAAATAGCACCCCTCCTTCTCTATGTCTCTCTCTCCCACTACAATCTCGATGTGTAATCATCAGCTGTTTAAATTCATGTTATGGTCCTCTACCATCCACAGGTGTTCGCCAGATACTTAATTGATAATGGTTTACAATACACTTAGCTTCAATGTGCAAATATTCATCCATTCATTCCACTAACAGCATTTTCGTGTAATTAATGTAGTTACAGCAACAACAACAACTACAACAACCACATCCGGCTGGTATACCCACATAGCTTATGGAAAAATAAATTAATTCGTTTTCACCATCACCGCCACCCACCACTGATATTCTTTGTTTGTCTGTATCTGTTTTGTATTCTTTCAGGTTGGGATGATTGGAGCGATTTCACCGTTTGCAGTGTGGCTTGTGGCAAGGGCGTGCAGCAGCGCTTCCGACGTTGCCTTCTCGATAATCCCATGGTCGATATGAAAATGAATTTCAATGAAATCGAGGAAGAAGAAATTGAAGCTGAGGAAGAAGAGTTGGAGGTGGAAGAGCAAGTGGAACAGTACGATGACGATAATGAACTGATGGACGATGAGGTTACGGGAGATGCCGAGGAGGAAAAACAATACGACGATATTGACAGAATGATATTTGAGGATGATGATGACGATGAAATCATTGAACAGCTCAAAGCTATTGACAACTATGACAGTGCCGATGATGATGACGATGGCGAACGTTCGATGCTGAATGCTGTTGCTAGCGGCGGTGGTGGTCAAGCTGTTGCCTTTGGATTTATAAATGAACGTTATGAAAAACCGGATGTTAGAAATAAAAAGCATCGTAGAAGAGCTCAACTATCACAGGATGTTGCCAGGCAACGGAATAGAGCAGAGACCGCCGATGAGGCGTTGGATGGCGTTGAAGTGATGACCCAAACGGATGTATACGAAGTGGACAACAATATGTTGCACTTTGTGACAGCACCATCAGCGTCACTAGGTGAAAAAACACAATCACGAAGGGCAAAAAATAAACTTAAAACAAGAACAGCAACGACAACAACTGAACAACCCGAAATTATGCGCATATTTGAGGGTGATTTCAACGATGTCTACAGCGAACGAATTTACAATGAAAGTCCATTTAATGGTCCCCAGTTGTCGGAGGATAAACGAGACTTGAAAATGTACAAAAAAGGACAGCGTTCGAAGCATAAACGTCATAAATCAGCAAAAATTGTGAGCACAATGTTCTGCGAAGGCTACAATATCGAACAGAGAACGTGCAATAATTTTGAATGTAGTGGTAAGTGAAACAATTGAATTTATTAACGTTTTGCCTTTGTGTATATTTGATTGTCGTTGATAAGTCAGAATAATTTATGATTTATGGTTTTTGGAATGCTTTAATTCTATTAGATTGAATAAAATGACATTTTGGTGGCCTTGAATATAGATATATCCAACATGAGTGTCAATACCTATCACCGTTTGAAAATGTAAAAAAATATATATATAAAAATGAGAGAATCGATAGCTCTAAGTGGGCAACAAGTAAATATTGAGAGATTTCAAATATTTAGTTTGTCCATAATAGACAAAAGTAAAAAAAAATTCACAGATAACAATTTTAAATTTTCAATAGCAAGGATTGGGGAGTATCATAATTGTGTCATTTCCCTTGTAAGACCATATCTGAATGTCCCGCTTAATTATTGGCGTGTTGAGGTTCCAATTTTTTCATAGAGCATAAAAAACCTACTAGCAGACAACTCATAATGACATTGTCCCGTTCTAAAGTACTCGGTCGATTCTGAATATTTTTAATGGGCATCAACATTGTGGAAGTGACCCTTCAGTGTGGTATCATAGATTTCCCCAAACTCAACTAACATTTCTTTATATTTTGTTTATTATTTATTTTTTTGTATTTAGCCTTTTGGCATTTCTCACTTAGATTTTATAAGGCCCAGTTCATAACCCTGAAAATCTGTTGTAAATTGTTTATTGTTTTCTCTAAAATTTTTACGTTTCCTTTTTTTGCTTAAGCAATAGTCATGATTTATTATTGTATACAAATATTGTCAGACCATAACAATAACACCAATAATATTTCACATGTTTTGTTTTTTTCGCCTCATTTATAGATGATATCAATGATTTATTGAAGTTTTATCGAAAATATCCCAGCAACGAGAAAACAAGTGCGACATCAACATAAGCATTAAATAACGATTTTAATACTGCGCCATCAGCAGCTGTATCTTCTTCTTCATCATCATCATCATCGTCGGGAGCGGCATGGACGGTCACTTCTTCAGTCACTACCGCAACAGCAACTAATTTTAATGTCGGATCTGTTCCATCCACACAGGCAAATGATTTGAGTGCCTGGAATGGTTTTACAGAAAATACAAACACCATAACACCAATACCGAAAAATACTGGCTTTGTTAAAACATGGCACAACTTTTTAAATTTTACCATTATGCTGACACTGCGAGCGAAGGTAAGTAGAAATAAGAGATGTGTAAAGGTGCTTATGTAAAGGCAATAAGTCCATATAAACTCAATTACCACAGCATATGAACTCGGACACGGACTCTTCTTTAAATGTAAAATCTGTTTTTAGTCTTATTGAGACAACCTAAAATCGGACGAAAAGGAAGATTTTGGAATAACCGCCATCAGCACTATATGAACACAGTAAACCAGCAGCGTAGAAATCTTTGTTGAATAAAACAGTTCAGCCTTCAGTCTCAAATTTTCCGAGTAGCCTAGAGAGATAGTGGGAAGGCAAAAGTTCGACATATTGACAAGTCTTAGGAATATTCAGCGTCTGTTTCAAAAGCTTAATATTTTAGGAAGGTTGCTACGGGGAAGATGACCTAGTGGTTCGCCTTCATAGCAACATTCGAAGTCTCCTACGACGACTGAAACGAAAAAAAATTGATCAGACCGATATTGATCTAATATTGATAGAATCAAGTAAAACCATTGTAAAGTTCAGCCGGGTCCTACATTTATATAGAACCAAGTAAAACAGTGTCATTCAGTGTTGCAGACAAATCTACACCTTTGAAACAGACGCTGAAGTTGGCAAGACGTCTGCGGAATTACTATCTAGTGTTGAGGTGGAGTATTAATACCCTATTATAGCTTTGTGTGGCCCCTCGAAATATTTGTCCTAGATCCATCTTTCTGTATACCGATCGTTATATCTCGACTAGCTGAGCCGAATAAAACATTTATGTCCGTCCGTCTGTCCAATATATTTTGCAAACACAAAACAAGCCACAGTTTTTGCATATATGATGGGTTCTGGGCAAAGATATAATGAACAAAAAACTTTATTTTTGTCTGTTTTTCTAGTCACTCTATAGAAGGGGGTCTGGCTTGAAATAAGGATGGCTGTTTTGATGATTTGGATTTGATTTTGATGAAGATTGGCGTATACATTTACTCCTGAAGGACATAGACCCAAGAATTTGATGGTAAAACCAAGAGGAATGGTTGACCTTTACATTGATACAAAGTACATTGGTGTAAGTGTTCAGATGTGGGAGTTATACGTAAATATTGACATGGATCTACTTATTCTGATATAGTTTAGCAATAACATTACCACACCACAGCGCGGATGGGATTTCGTATGCGATTCTGTATGATGATCAGAAAATATTTAAGGGATGAAATGGATCGAAAACTTTATTTTTCGCTGGATTTCTACACATTTTCACATCTTATTCAAAACATATCAAATTTAATTCGAGAATTGCATTTGTAATTCACAACATGTAACTTACAATTGGAGAATTCTATTTACAATTCGTAACATATAAGTTGTAATTCAAGAATTTCATTTGTAATTCATAGAATACCTTTCGAAATTCGTAGAATTCCATTTGAAATTTAAAGGATGGATTCATAAAATTCCATTTGAAACTCAAAGAATTCCATTTGAATTTCATAACACTTCATTTGAAATACATAACATTTCATTAGTAATTCATAACATTTAATTTTAAATTCTAAAAATTTTAAATGAATTGTTACGAACTGCAACTGAACTTTTATGAATTACAAGTGAAATGAATTTCAAATTGAATTCATTGACTTTTAAATGGATTTCTTTGAATTTCAAATGAAACTCTAAGAATTTTAAATGGAAATATACGAAAAACAAATGGAATTTTTAAATTTCAAAGGTAATTTCTTGAAATTACTTTGACCTTAAATCGGTCAGAAAGTTCACCCCACCCATGCTCGGAATATAGATCCGCAGAAACTAAGTGCTCAGTCGATGTTTTGTAGGGTGGCATCTGGTGGGCCCAGTTCGATTATACTACTCCGCTCACTGGTTTTTATTAGCTTTATAATTTGTATACCCCTCACCACACGGCGGTACATGGTATTATGTCTTTGTGCATATGTTTGTAACAGGCAAAAGGAAACGAGATAGACCCATATTTCCTTTTGAGAATATGCATAGAATCACTTTTTGAGTCGATTTATGCATGTCCGTCCGTCCGTCTGTTGGTGTTAAATTGTAAATAAAGTACAGGTCGCATATTTTTTGATATATTTTGATATAGCTTCCATACATATTTACGCCCGATTTTAAGTAAATTGGGCATCAAACTCCTCATGTTTGTCAGATTGACGTGAAGGCCGATTGACACAAAATTTTGCAAAACGTACTGAAGTTAGTATAAACCCATCTCAGCAAATTTCGTTAAAATCAATTCAAATTTTGATATATCTCCTATTTATTTTTCGTCCAATTTTTTGTAAATGGTGCACCAAACTCCTTAAGTGCCAATTCGCTTATTATTTGATTTATAAATATTGAAAATATTTACACTTTTCGGGGCAGGTACCAGAAGGAAAGGACCCATATGTCCCAACTTCGGACTTGATCTAATATTGGTAAAATATTACCACGTGCATAGTGTGAATAAAATTTTAATATTCCGTTCGCGTCAAATGAAATTTATTAATTTGAAAAATATTAACTACTTTCCTTACTAGTTATATTTGGACTATGTCAAATATAAACAAATATTGAAACTTTCCTGCTTCCCAGGAATGCAAATTAAACCCAGGTTGATATGGTGACATAGTCCATGGATGAACCCCTTATTGAAATAATTCTGCATATATGTTTTTCACACTATTACGTCCCCAAAATTGACATCTATAAAACGTTAAAGACTCTTATATTATATACTACTAACTTTATTTTACTGAATCTACACCTTCCATATATGTCCCTTAAAATATTTTATATTATTATATATTCCCTTTTATTTACGTATTATGTCTTAATTCAATTTTATCACTATATTTCTTTTATGTTCATTCCCTTTGCTGTGATCTGAAACTTGGCTCCTCTTTAACGGCCATTTAACTCTTGTAAATGTGAAAACTTAACCTCATTGGCAGAATGACAGTTATAACTCGGCGACAATATTCTCAATTCGCAATGGTACACACAATCTGTACTTGGAAACATATCGAGATGGTTTACACCTGTATTTGGAAAGAGATAAAACCACCGAAATGCTGCCCATTCAATTTAATTTATACGACTATCGGTGGCATCAAGTGGCCATAAGGTGCGTAAAAACTTTGTGGTGAAAACCTGTGTGAATACAAGAGTATTGCATGTATGTGTGTGCGTGTGTGTTTGAGAGTATCGTTTTCCCATAAATGTATTTTTGAACATCCTGTATGTGCGTGTGTGTGTTTGTAATATTCTACATTAAATGCCTTTGGCCCTTGGCTGAGTTATTGAAATTTACATTTTTATTGGCCATAGTTGAGGTTTTTTGTTTTTGTTTCTGTTGTTTTGCGTTCTCCATTCAATGTTCAAATGTTATTACATTTTATTTTATGAGAACAACAACAACAACAAAAACACAAAATAAATTAATTTTATTACGAATTTTCATATTTGTCTGTTTTTGTTCGTTTCTTTGTTTCTAACAGCATAAAAAATGGTGATTTCATAACGATTTACATCGATTGTTCCTGGTCGAACAGTTTTGTCGGGCTCCCCCCTGCGTACGTCCCTGCCCGCGCATATGTTTTGCAAATGCAAAAGAAAACGATATAAGCCCTTAGTTTCTTTTGAGGAATCACCACACTGTGGTACAGGGTATTATGTCTTTGTGCATATATTAGTAACAGGCAAAAATAATCGAGATAGACCATGTGTCCTTTTGAGAATATGCATAGAATCACTTTCTGAGTCGATTTATGCATGTCCGTCTGTTCGTCCGTCTATCCGTCCATGTATTTTTGTTAACAAAGTACAGGTCGCATTTTTTATCCGATTTGGATGAAATTTGGCACAGGTCACTTAATTGGTCCAAGGACGAACCCTATTGAAATTGGGAAAAATCGGTTCAGATTTAGATATAGCTCCCATATATATTTTCGTCCGATTTAAGGTAAATGGTGTACAAAAGTCGATTTGCACGAAATTTGACACAGCATAATGTATAGGGTCTAGAATGATGTGTGTTATGTTTCCTGAAAATCGGTTCAGATTTAGATATAGCTCCCATATATATCTTTGTCCGATTTAAGGTAAATGGTGTACCAAAGTCCCTATATATCTTTCGATTTGCACGAAATTTGGCATAGCGTAATGAATAAGGTCTAGAATGATGTGCGTAAAATTTATTGAAAATCTATTCAGATTTAGATATAGCTCACATATATATGTTCGACCGATTTAATGTATATGGTGTACCAAAGTCCCTATATATCTTTCGATTTGCATAAAATTTGGCATAGCGTACCGAATTGAGTCTAGAATGATGTGCTTTAAGTTTCGTTAAAATCTGTTAAGATTTAGATATAGCTCCCATATATTTTCGACCGATTGAATTTAATGTTTGCTCGAAATTTGAAATAGCGTACTGAATTGAGTCTAGAATGATGTGTGTAAAATTTCCTAAAAATTGTCAGATTTTAAGGCCCAACGTTAGGCCAATTGCTTGTGCAAAGTTTTGTTAAAATCAGTCCGGATTTAGATAAAGCTCCAATATATATTTTCTTCCGATTTTAAATAAATTGTGCACGAAAGACTCAAACTTAGGCCGGTTGACACAAAATTTTATAGAACGTACTTAAAGTAGTATGTCATGTTTTGTTGGAATCCGTCCAGATGTAGATATAGCTCCCATATAGTTTCGTCTGATTTTAAGTAGGACCCAAGGACCCAATATATGTCCATTAGGAACAAAACGTGCATAAATTAGTCTAACCTAACCTGTGACAAATTTCGTTGAAATCCGTTCATATTTGGATATAGCTTCCATATCTATTTTCATCCGATTTTAAGTAAATGGTGCATCAAACTCTTCATGTTTTTCAGAACAGAATGACGTAATTGCTTGTAGAAGTACTGATGTAGCCCATATATATTTCCGACCGACTTCATGTTAATTGGGCTCCAAATATTTTTCTTTAAATCGATTTACATAATTTTGTCCCATTGTTACAAAGGAATGACATGTTTATGGATTGATATAAGTCGGTTCACATTTAGATAAAGGTCACATATTTTAGTTCATCCTATTTCATGTTAATTGCCCTTCTGTTAGGATGCATCTTTTTTTTAATATATCCATAGTGGTGAAGGGTATCATATAGTCGGCCCCATCCGACTTTACTACTTTCCTTACTGGTTTCCAATTCCAATAGGGTTCGTCCTTGGGCTAAATAAGTGACCAATGTCAAATTTCGTCCAAATCGGATCATAAATGCGACCTTTACAATGCTCACAAATATACACGTACGGACAGACGGACAAGCATAAATCGACTCAGAAAGTGATTCTATGTATGTTCTGGAAAATAACCATGGGTCTGGCTTTCGGTCAACTTTCCAAGAGCTCATTCATCAAAAAATCGGCGTTCTGTTCATTCAATAAAATTTAATGATTTTCAAGAGTTATACGTTTGGTATTGATCATTCATAGTTAATAAGAAACCCAGTGTCAAACTTCTTATGCCCTCCACAGTGAGGTTGGCACTTAATTTGGTCAAAATTAATATCAAAACAAAATGTGGCGGAACAAAATGGTAGATACGTTAAAACATGGATCCATATTATTATTCTGTGGACAAGTATTTTTATACCCTCCACCATAGTATGGAGGGTATATTAATTTTGTCATTCCGTTTGTAACTCATCGAAATATTCATTTCCGACCCTATAAAGTATATATATTCTTGATCAGGGTAAAATTCTAAGACGATCTAGCCATGTCCGTCCGTCTGTTGTAATCACGCTATCTTCTGAAGGAATTGAGATAGGGTGCTGAAATTTTGCATAGGGTTGTCTTTTGTCTGCAGGCAGGTCAAGTTCGAAGATGGGATATATCGGTCCACGTTTGGGCATAGCTCCCATATAACAGTACCTCCCAATTTTCGGTATTTTGGGGTTCTTGAGCGCGTTTTTCAATCAAATACGCTGAAATTTGGTACATTGAGTTCTTATTGGGTACTTAATGTCCCTGCCAAAAATAAATAAATATAGGTCCACTTTTTCCTGTAGCCCCCATATAACGGTAGCTCCTAATTTTCAGTATTTTGGGGGTTTTGATCGTATTTTTCCACCGAATTGGCTGTAATTTAGTATTTCGAGTTCTTAATAGGTACCAAATCTCTCCACATAAAATTATAAATATAGGTTAATTTTTTGGATATTCCCCATATAAGGGTACCCCCAAATTTCGGTATTTTGGGGTTCTTGAGCACGTTTTTCAACTGAATTTGCTACATTGGGTTCTTATTGGGTACTAAATGTCCCTACAAAAAATTATAAATATAGGTCCACTTTTTCTGGTAGACCCCATATAACGGTACCTCCTAATTTTCAGTATTTTGGGGGTTTTGATCGTATTTTTTCACCGGATTGGTTGTAATTTAGAATATCGAGTTCTTAATAGGTACCAAATCTCTCCAAATAAAATTATAAATATTGGTCATTTTTTCGGATATCCCCCATATAAGGGTACCCCAAATTTTCGGTATTTTGGGGTTCTTGAGCGCGTTTTTCAACCGAATACGCTGAAATTTGGTACATTGGGTTCTTAATAGGTTCCACATCTCTCCACAGAAAATTTTGAATATAGGTCCATTTCTTCGGATAGCCCCCCATATAAGGGTACCCCCAATTTTCGATATTTTTGGGATCTTGGGCGCGTTTTTCAACCGAATTTGCTGCAAGTTGGTATTTTGTAGTCGTATATGGTAACAAATATGCCTACCAAAAAATGGTAATATTCGCCTCCTTTTGGGGGTAGTCCCATTATAACCCCCTTTTTTATACCCTTCACCACACTGTGGTACAGGGTATTATGTCTTTGTGCATATGTTTGTAACATGCAAAAGGAAACGAGATAGACACATGGTTCCTTTTGAGAATATGCATAGAATCACCTTCTGAGTCGATTTATGCATGTCCGTCCGTCTGTCCGTCTGTAGATGTTAAATTGTAAACAAAGTACAGGTCACATTTATGATCCGATTTGGATGAAATTTGGCACAAGTCACTTATTCGGCCCAAGGACGAACCCTATTGAAATTGGGAAAAATCGGTTCAGATTTAGATATAGCTCCCATATATATATTTAACAGATTTCATGCAAACGGTCCCTATATATCTTTCGATTTGCACGAAATTTAGTACAGCCTAATCATTTAGGTCAAGAATGATGTCTGCCAAGTTTCGTGAAAATCGGTCCAGATTTAGATATAGCTCCCATATATAGTTTCGTCCGATTTCATGTAAATGGTGCACAAAAGTCCCTTTATATCTTTCGTTTTGCACGAAATTTGGCATAACGTACTGAATTGAGCCTAGAATGATGTCTGCCAAGTTTCGTATTGAGCCTAGGTGTCTGCCAAGTTTCCAGATTTAGATATAGCTCCCATATATAGTTTCGTCCGATTTCATGTAAATGGTGCCCCAAAGTCCCTATATATCTTTCGTTTTGCACGAAATTTGGTACAGCCTAATCATTTAGGTCTAGAATGATGTCTGCCAAGTTTCGTGAAAATCGGTCAAGATTTAGATATAGCTCCCATATACAGTTTCGTCCGATTTTATGTAAATGGTGCACCAAAGTCCCTATATATCCTTCGATTTGCACGAGATTTGGCATAACGTACTGAATTGAGCCTAGAGTGATGTCAGCCAAGTTTCGAGAAAATTGGTCCTCATTTAGATATAGTTCCCTTTTAATATAGATTGAGTTTAAGCAATTGACGCAACAAGGAATCAATAGGCTGATAGGAACAAAACGTTCTGAAATTAGTGTAACCTAACCTGTGACAAGTTTGTTTGAAATCGCTTAATATTTGGATAGAGCTTCCAAATATATTTCCGCCCGATAGTCCTGTTTAATATACCCATAGTGGTGAAGGGTATCATATAGTCGGCCCCGTCCGATTTTACTACTTTCCTTACTGGTTTATGTTAAAATAGTTATCTATTTTCTAAAATTTGTATTATGGTTTACATAATCCGTTTTTTGAAATGTCGTTTTAGGTCAACTTTTTGGTATGTTCCCTATATTTTCATTTCTAGTACCAGTCGGCCCCGTCCGACTTTACTACTTTCCTTACTGGATTATGTTAAAATAGTTATCTAATTTCTAAATTTTGTATTATGGTTTACATAATCCGTTTTTTGAAATGCCGTTTTAGGTCAACTTTTTGGTATGTTCCCTATATTTTCATTTCTAGTACCAGTCAAAATGTCTATGGTGGAGGGTATCCAAAGTTCGGCCCGGCCGAACTTAACGCTTTTTCACTTGTTAAGTCTTAAGAAGCCTAATATACCTTTAAAGGCTGAATCTTTATATGGGAAATATGTTAAAACATAAATCTTCCTACTCTATGAATATGAAAGCAATGTCCGTCCGTCTGTTGTAATCACGCTATCTTCTGAAGGAATTGAGATAGGGTGCTGAAATTTTGCATAGGGTTGTCTTTTGTCTGCAGGCAGGTCAAGTTCGAAGATGGGATATATCGGTCCACGTTTGGGCATAGCTCCCATATAACAGTACCTCCCAATTTTCGGTATTTTGGGGTTCTTGAGCGCGTTTTTCAATCAAATACGCTGAAATTTGGTACATTGAGTTCTTATTGGGTACTTAATGTCCCTGCCAAAAATAAATAAATATAGGTCCACTTTTTCCTGTAGCCCCCATATAACGGTAGCTCCTAATTTTCAGTATTTTGGGGGTTTTGATCGTATTTTTCCACCGAATTGGCTGTAATTTAGTATTTCGAGTTCTTAATAGGTACCAAATCTCTCCACATAAAATTATAAATATAGGTTAATTTTTTGGATATCCCCCATATAAGGGTACCCCCAAATTTCGGTATTTTGGGGTTCGTGAGCACGTTTTTCAACTGAATTTGCTACATTGGGTTCTTATTGGGTACTAAATGTCCCTACAAAAAATTATAAATATAGGTCCACTTTTTCTGGTAGACACCATATAACGGTACCTCCTAATTTTCAGTATTTTGGGGGTTTTGATCGTATTTTTTCACCGGATTGGTTGTAATTTAGAATATCGAGTTCTTAATAGGTACCAAATCTCTCCAAATAAAATTATAAATATTGGTCATTTTTTCGGATATCCCCCATATAAGGGTACCCCAAATTTTCGGTATTTTGGGGTTCTTGAGCGCGTTTTTCAACCGAATACGCTGAAATTTGGTACATTGGGTTCTTAATAGGTTCCACATCTCTCCACAGAAAATTTTGAATATAGGTCCATTTCTTCGGATAGCCCCCCATATAAGGGTACCCCCAATTTTCGATATTTTTGGGATCTTGGGCGCGTTTTTCAACCGAATTTGCTGCAAATTGGTATTTTGTAGTCGTATATGGTAACAAATATGCCTACCAAAAAATGTTAATATTCGCCTCCTTTTGGGGGTAGTCCCATTATAATCCCCTTTTTTATACCCTTCACCACACTGTGGTACAGGGTATTATGTCTTTGTGCATATGTTTGTAACATGCAAAAGGAAACGAGATAGACACATGGTTCCTTTTGAGAATATGCATAGAATCACCTTCTGAGTCGATTTATGCATGTCCGTCCGTCTGTCCGTCTGTAGATGTTAAATTGTAAACAAAGTACAGGTCACATTTATGATCCGATTTGGATGAAATTTGGCACAAGTCACTTATTCGGCCCAAGGACGAACCCTATTGAAATTGGGAAAAATCGGTTCAGATTTAGATATAGCTCCCATATATATATTTAACAGATTTCATGCAAACGGTCCCTATATATCTTTCGATTTGCACGAAATTTAGTACAGCCTAATCATTTAGGTCAAGAATGATGTCTGCCAAGTTTCGTGAAAATCGGTCCAGATTTAGATATAGCTCCCATATATAGTTTCGTCCGATTTCATGTAAATGGTGCACAAAAGTCCCTTTATATCTTTCGTTTTGCACGAAATTTGGCATAACGTACTGAATTGAGCCTAGAATGATGTCTGCCAAGTTTCGTGAAAATCGGTCCAGATTTAGATATAGCTCCCATATATAGTTTCGTCCGATTTCATGTAAATGGTGCACAAAAGTCCCTTTATATCTTTCGTTTTGCACGAAATTTGGCATAACGTACTGAATTGAGCCTAGAATGATGTCTGCCAAGTTTCGGTCCCTATATATCTTTCGATTTGCACGAAATTTAGTACAGCCTAATCATTTAGGTCAAGAATGATGTCTGCCAAGTTTCGTGAAAATCGGTCAAGATTTAGATATAGCTCCCATATACAGTTTCGTCCGATTTTATGTAAATGGTGCACCAAAGTCCCTATATATCCTTCGATTTGCACGAGATTTGGCATAACGTACTGAATTGAGCCTAGAGTGATGTCAGCCAAGTTTCGAGAAAATTGGTCCTCATTTAGATATAGTTCCCTTTTAATATAGATTGAGTTTAAGCAATTGACGCAACAAGGAATCAATAGGCTGATAGGAACAAAACGTTCTGAAATTAGTGTAACCTAACCTGTGACAAGTTTGTTTGAAATCGCTTAATATTTGGATAGAGCTTCCAAATATATTTCCGCCCGATAGTCCTGTTTAATATACCCATAGTGGTGAAGGGTATCATATAGTCGGCCCCGTCCGATTTTACTACTTTCCTTACTGGTTTATGTTAAAATAGTTATCTATTTTCTAAAATTTGTATTATGGTTTACATAATCCGTTTTTTGAAATGTCGTTTTAGGTCAACTTTTTGGTATGTTCCCTATATTTTCATTTCTAGTACCAGTCGGCCCCGTCCGACTTTACTACTTTCCTTACTGGATTATGTTAAAATAGTTATCTGCATGTAAATTTCATCGTCCGATTTTACTACTTTCCTTACTGGTTTATGTTAAAATAGTTATCTATTTTCTAAAATTTGTATTATGGTTTACATAATCCGTTTTTTGAAATGTCGTTTTAGGTCAACTTTTTTTATGTTCCCTATATTTTCATTTCTAGTACCAGTCGGCCCCGTCCGACTTTACTACTTTCCTTACTGGATTATGTTAAAATAGTTATCTGCATGTAAATTTCATCCATCAACTTATATTTATACATGTAATAGCATATGGTATATAACTTAATTAACTTAATTAATTTATATAACTTAACTTAATTAATTTATATAACTTAATTAATTGTATAAATTTAATTTGTATGTTGTAGTAAATTAACAACATTATGTTTTGTTAATTAAACCGACTCTTTGTATTGCTTTTCTCTTTTCTTGCAGGGTGAACTACAACAACTATTGATATTACCACGACTGCAAGGACGTCGGCAATGTTCAGACAAACGAATATCCATAAATGAAGTGAAACGTTATATAATCGATACATTTATCGGTGATTATGGGAATTAAAGCAGAAAACGTTTTCTTTTTTTTTGTAATTTGTAACAGGGATTTAATTTTCTTTTAGTCTGATTTTCCTTTTTGTGAAACGATACAATAAACTAGGAAAAATATCCAAACATACACACACAAACACATTTTTGCTACATAACTAAAGTATAGTCATGAAAAAAAAAACAAAACATAAGCTGATTAACAATAAAAACAATGAATATCTTAATAATGAATATCTTAATAAGTTTCTGAGATAATATTATGAATATATTTTTCATATAAGTTTAAGGCGAAAAAACCGAAAACAAAAAACCAATTTGCAATACAATAAATGTAATTAATTATATATAATATTATTACTATTATTATGATTATTATATACAGACATTAGTGCATATATATATTATTACATTATTATGGAAAAAAACAACAGCAACAACAGAAAAGAAGGACGTAAACTAAGAGACAAATAAAGAAATTCATAAAAGTATTATTACTAATAAATTGGAATAAAAAACAAGAAAATATGAAAAATACTTGTATACAATGATGATTGAATTTTTAATTGCATATACTGAAGTGGCGATCAATAAAGGTAAGTATATTATACTTAATAATTACGAAGTTTTTGACTATTTATAAAGTATTAACATTTCATTAGAAACGTGTGTAAGTAATACCAAAGCAGAATAGCTGTAGACTCCTATTGGGTTTTAAATCCAATGATGATACACTGGATATATGAGGGACAAAATGGATAACTCCAACCCTGCAGACTAAATTGTGTGGACATCCAATTGATATTCAAACATGTAAAAACGGGGTGGCTTTCTATGCACTCCGCCATGTTATGTGAATTCACAATTTTTTCAAAAGGTTGGAATACGGAATTTCAGATTACTTCCATTTGAAGGGAATAACACTTCTAAAAACTTTAAAATGCCGTAAATAGGGCGGTACTTTAAAGATAATTTTATTGTATAATAATGCATGGGCTATAACCAAAAGGCGGTAAAGAAATGAACCCCAAATAACTGGAGGAAAAATTATTGATGTATGGAATTAATAAATTCGATTAATAATAAAATAAATTCATTATTTAATGAAAAATATGATGCCATTCAATGCCAAATTCAGCACATTAATGTCGTATGAACCGTTTATGGTCAAAACTAAAATCCAGAATAATTTTATTTTTATAAAAAACTAGCGGGCCCGGCAAACGTTGTCTTGCATAGCAGTATTGATGATGTATAATTCACAAATATAATTCAAGATAGCCCAATATTAAGCTTCACTCCACGATTTAAGATAGTGCTCTGAAATTTGCACATACTTTGCTACTACTCCTACGATATTTGGTATTGAAAATGTTCAATATTAGTTCACTATTTAGGGTATCCCCATATAACGGTACCTTCAATATGAGAAATTGTAACGATTTTATCAACAGAATTGGTTGTAATTAAGCAGAAAGTGTCCGTACCAAATATTATCAATATTGGCATATGTTTCGGGGTACCGCCTATATAATGGTAGCCCTAAACATTCGATATTTTGAAGATCTTGGCACGGTTTTCAACAGCATTGCTTTTAATTTAATATAAGGGAAAGTTCTTGAGCAAAAAATCTCTCTACTTAAAATTATCAATATTATATCAGTATTTGGCTGTAATTTTATATTTTGGATGATCATCGAGTAGAAAATGTTCCTAACAAAGCTTCCGAAATGCCTCCATATAATGGCACTCCACATTATACGATCCTTTGAGGATTTGGACATGTTTTTCAACCTAATCAGCTGTAATTGGTTGTTTTATTTGGTAGCATAAATCCTACTAAAATTGTCAATATCAGTTCACTCTTCTGTATTTTGAGGGGTTTAGTCACGTGTTAGAACAAAATAGGCTGTAATTTTATATTTTAGATGATCAGTGAGTACAAAATCTACTTACAAAAAATTATCAATATTTATCCAAGTTTCCGGGTAGCACCCATATAATGGTATCCCCCTCATTTTCTCATGTGGTGTCAAATCTTCATACCAACAATTAATCAATCCCCATTCCCATTGTATGTCTAAATATAATAAAATATGTCATTTCGGGATATTGGGGGTGAAAAATTATCTATTTAGGACCAAGTTTTGATATAGCATATAAATACAGGTTTCGGTTCCATAAAGACATTGACCGGATTCCTGTGAATAAAAAACAGCATCCCAGAAATTATGGACTTTAGGTTAACGTTTTAGAAATACGTCATAATTATTTCCCGTTCAATTTTCGGTATGTTGAAGTTCTTATTCCCGTTTTCCAACCTGACAAATGTAGGCTTAAAGGAATGATACGCTACCGATTTTCGCCAAAAATATCTCAAAAATAACAACTACGACGTGGTGCAATTCAAATAGCTCGATACTAAATTCGTGAAAATGCCAATATATTGCAAAATACTTTTTGCAAAATTTTCGCGGTTTTTGACTTTTTCTCACCTTTTAAACCTTCCCTGGAGCTCCACGAACATTTCAACATTGCCGGCCCGGCAAACGTTGTCTTGCATAGCAATATTGTTGATGTATAATTCACATAACGATAGCCCAATATTAAATTATCTTTACGATAGTGCTCTGAAATTTGCACATACATTGAAATTGCGCAGAAAGTGTCCGTACCAAATATTATCAATATTGGCCCATGTTTCGGTGTACCGCCCATATAATGGTAGCCCTAAACATTTGGATATTTGAAGATCTTAAGTGCGAGTTTCAACAGAATTAATCAATATTGGCCCAAGTATCCAGATAACCCTATAATATTCGGTATTTGGCTGTAATTTTACATTTTGGATGATCGTTGAGTAGAAAATGTTCCTAACAAAATTTACCCAAGCTTCCGAAATCCACATAATGGAACTCCACATTATAGAATGCTTTGGGGATTTGGGCACGTTTTTCAACCTTAATTAGTTGTTTTATTTGGTGAGTCCAAAATCTCCTTACAAAGAATTATCAATATTGGTCAAAGTTTGTCGGTTGCACCCATATAATGGTATCCCCCTAATTTCTCATGTTGTGTAGAATCTTCCTACCAATAATTAATATGTCTCCATTCCCATTTTTGTAGTTAAAATAGTTCATTCCGGGATATTGGGGGGAGACACATTTTTGCGACTAAGTATCTACTTAGGTCCGAGTTTTGATATATCTTCTATATAGCATAATACCCCATTTATTATAAAGTATTATAAAGACATTGACCGAATTTCCTAATAGAGTTGGCTATAATTAGGCATAACGAATTCCTGTGAATAAAAAACATCATTCCAGCAATTCTGCACTATAGCTTAACTTTAAAAAACGCCATAATTAATTCCAGTTCAGTTTTCGGTATGTTGAATTTCTTACTCCCGTTTTCCAACTTGAGTGTTATCGGTAGTTACCATTTTCAATACGAATGGGTAACATCGGACGGAGGTTTTCGTATAACCTTCAAGTCGCTACGTCATCATCGCAAATTTTTATAAAATTGCTGTTTTTTTGGTTTGTTGTTCTCTTTCCAGCTGAGCTTAATGATACATTTTTGCAAAGAAGATATCTCGTATATTGCACTGTGATAAACATTTTTAGTGTCGGATATATGCGAGGTGTTTATAAGTTCAAAGATACTGAACAACGATTAGGCATATAACCGCCTGATTTGATATTTTTCGTGGCATAGCAAAATTTCAGGAACTTTAAGGAACAACTTCTTCCTATTATTATTATTTTCAAACAAATTAATCAAGAGCATGGATCTTAGAATCAGAATACCCTGAATGGACACGAACTCGATTCAGAATCTCTTTTGATTTTTCATCCTTGCATTAGTCCCAAAATGTACTTGCATTCTATGGACGACCTAAGTCAGGTCGTCTTCTTCTCAGCATCTTAACGTTATTAATGCCGAACAATAGTGTAACTATCACAGGGTCACTATCTCAAAGGATCACATAAGTAAAGAAAGTTCTCGCGCACGTATCGGTAATCGAAACTTAATCCTTCCAGAAACTTAATTTGTGACAAAATTTAAAATTTATTAAACTTAAAAAAAAATTCTGACAACAAAAGCAAATTGAATGTATGAATCTACATTTTATTTAGAAAACATTTGTATGGGAAATATAAAAGTCATCTTTTTAGAGATTTCCCGGCATTTATTCGATCTTTTCTCACCCTTTAAACCTTCCACGAACACTTCAAGACTAAGATAACAAAAATCCGTTCAGCCGTTCTCGAGTTTTAGCGAGACTAACGAACAGCAATTCATTTTTATTTATATAGATAGATATAGATTTCTGTTATTCGTAAACCTCTGCCACAAAATGCAACACACAACAATTTGCCATTTAATATCATGAACAAATTTATGATTCCTTTGGAATTATTTATCTATGTATGAGAATGACCTGAAATTACCTCGCCATCATTGTTCATTGTCGAACAATGATGCGTTTAGGCCCTAATAGAAAATATATAAAAATGTGTACGTACATACATACATTTTATGGAATTCTATAAAACAAAGGCTTTTGTTTCTGTGAATTCCTAAAATGTAAAAATATAAATCGGTCTAACGACTAAATGGAGGAAATATTTATTATGAAAAATATTTGGACTGTAATAAATATACATATGAGTACTACATAGATATTTTGATGTATTGTAAAATTCGATTGAAATATGCAACTCTAGTAACAGTGAAATTTATTTTTATATTTCACAGGAATGTATTTGAAAAAAGTTTATTATTTAAATTGGTAAATTATTTTCAATATAATTCCATAGAAATTTGTATGTGGGCAAATTGAAATGTATTCCTTGTTTAGATATTTTGAAAAAACGAATTAACAAAAATAAAATAAAATAAATAAATAAATGTTTTCGTATATTTTAAGAGATATCATTAAAACTTTATTTTTATTATTAATCTATAATATATGCACATTTTTGTGTTATCCCTCAACGAACGATTTTC